CATTCGAAAACCCCTTTGATTGTTTTCGCTTAATTCGGAGCCTGAATCGCTAAAATGGAAGGGATAGAATCCGCGTCTAGAAAAGGACGGAGGGTTGTGGTGATCGGCGGCGGAATCGCCGGCTCTCTCGCCGTGAAAATGCTTCAATTTGATGCCGACGTTACCCTCATCGATCCGTACGTTTTCCAAATTCTTGAAAAACACCATTTTTGTTTACCTAGTTTGATCTTTGAGCTCAAACATCAGGAAGGAGTTTTGAGATTACATGGGCAAGCTTGAGATCTATGGTTGAGCCTTCATTTGCAGAGAGAACAGTAATCAACCACAAAAGCTACTTGAAAAACGGCCGTGTTGTTACTTCTCCGGCGATCAATATCACAGAGACTGATGTAATCACTGGAGATGGAGCTGTGATTGGATATGAATATCTAGTCATTGCTACAGGTCACAACGACTGGTACCCCAAAACCAGACAAGAAAAGCTATCACAATACCAAGCAGGTAAGTAATTCAAGATTGTGGGTAATTGTTATCAATAGGTGTGGAGATTGAGACATGGTACATTTGGTTTGCAGAATATGAGAAGATCAAAGCTTCTGAATCAGTTTTGATTGTTGGTGGAGGACCGTCTGGTGTGGAGCTTGCTGCTGAAATTGCGGTCGATTTCCCGGGGAAGAAGGTTACTCTGGTGCACAAAGGACCAAGATTGCTTAAGTTTGTTGGACAGAAAGGCTGCTGATAAAGCATTGGACTGGTTAGAATCAAAGAAAGTGGAAGTGATACCGAACCAAACTGTGGATTTGAATTCAGTTTCTGACAGAAAGAAAACATACCGGACTTCAGGAGGAGAAACTATACACGCAGATTGTCTTTTCCTCTGCGTTGGGAAACCTCTGTGTTACCAATGGCTCAGTGGAACTGTTCTGAAAGATAGCTTAGAGGGTAAAGGAAGGGTCATGGTCGACGAGCACTTGCGGATTAAAAAATCGAATGAATATTTTCGCCATTAGAGATATCACTAATATCTTGGTAATTAAATGCATGATATTTCATAAAAGATCAAGTTTTTTATTTAGCTTTCTTGGTTAGTATCTTGTTTTGATTATATGATTTTCTAATGACAGGAGATGAAGCAAGGATATATAGCGGAGAATCATGCTAATGTGGTTGTGAAGAACTTAAAGGTAATGATGTCGGGAGGGAAAAAGAAGATGTCGACTTACAAACCCGGACCAGAGATTGCAATTGTCTCATTAGGAAGAAAGGACTCTGTTGCTCAGTTTCCATTTGCGACAGTCGTGGGTTGCCTCCCTGGTTTGATAAAGTCCAAGGATCTGTTTGTGGGGAAGATGAGGAAGGCAAGAGGGTTAAATCCTAAACTTGCTCAAGGTTGATTCCTTTTTGTGCAATAGTGTAATCATACTTTGTGTTGTGTGTTGTGTTGATCTCATTGTTTCAGTGTGGAGTTGGTTTGCTTATGTTGTTGTGTATAATAGTGTGATTGTACGTATTTGATATTTCAAATGTATTTCAATGATCCTTAGTTATCCGACTTGGCTGTCGAAGAGTCATAAACCCATTTTGATAAGCCAGTTTTTTTCCTTCAAATCCTTCTACCAAATAACGCATTGGACTCTATATAGTTTTCGACTAAATCCTAGAACTACAACTTATGGAATTGAAAGAGTTGTTTTGGGAAGACAAACTTTTTTTTTGTCCTCGTGGACTAATATATATGACCATGCTAATTATTATGGACCTACGATCACTTAAAAAATGTGCCCCGTAAAACATCCATTCATCTGGAACTTAACCCTACGCAGTCCGACTATTCATGAACAAGCAAGGTTTCCTTCAAGAGCAAACTCAACAGTTAATTTGTAGGTTGCAAAAACTCCTGACCAAATAATTATATTACTTACTGCTATGGTATATTCTCAATATAGAGAGTATCATCTAGTTGTATGCTATTTAAACACAACGAAGTAATAAAACATTAATGAAAAATAATATATTCATAACTCCATTCTACGTTGCATGGAAACGTCAAAAAGTGGCGTTTCCGTTTCGGAAACGTTTCGGAAACAGAAACGCGACGGAAATGCGATGGAAACGCATTTTCTAAATATCCGATTTGGAAACGTTTTGGAAACGTGTTTCCACAGTTGGAAACGCGGCCGGAAACGTGTTTCCAAATTGGAAACGCGAATTTTGGTATTTTTTGTTAAATTAATTTTGGTTTTGGAAACAAATTAAATAAATATTTTGAAAATATAGAAATTTGTTTGATATTTTTAATAAGTTTTAAAACCTAATTATTAAACACTAATACATTATTTTTTTCTAATCGTCACCGTAACCTAAAAACGTAGAAGAGTCGAAGAGATAAGCAAGGTATTTTTTTCAATTACAGTAGATTTGTTATTGATTATTGAAATTGTGAAGTCNTATNNAAAAACGAAGTNTTTTTTTGTTCGAGTCNGATTANATTTGTGTTGTNTCAAATATTTTAAAACTATTGATAATTTTGGTTTCATGATATATATATATATACGTTTCCAAAACGTTTCCGTTTCCTCCTTTTTAAAGAAAAATCGTTTCTGTGTTTCCTAA